GCACACTCACCGGACCTGGGCTAGGACTGGGTCTGGGGGCTCCCGGAACTCGGCAGAAAATCCTACTCGGCGGGCGGGGTGGGGGAGGCACTCTCCATTTTTCTCTTTACAAAGCCTTAATATTAAAATTTTGTTTTTTTATGCTGGATTAAAATACCTTGTGACAGAAACCTTCTTTCCCTTTAGGAGTATAACTTCTCATAAATGTTTGATAGCTCTTCAGAAAATCATTGTTTTGTTTTTTTAAAACAGGAAAATTCTTCTAACATACTTTCAGATTTAGATGAAGAATTTGATAGCTTATACTCTATTTTGGATGAAGTAAAAGAAAGTATGGTTAACAGTATCAAACAAGAACAAGCCCGTAAATCACAAGAGTTACAGGTGAGATCATATAATTTTAAATATGAATATTCTACGTAAATGCTAGATTTATTGAAAGCAGAAATTAGTTACCTTTATTTAATAGAAGAATGGCTTTTCACTTTGTTTTGGTCATTAATATTTTAAAATTTTGTTGATAAAATTACAAAATCTACCCTCAGCCATTCTTCAGTATACAGTTCACTGTATTCATACTGTTATGTGATAGAGCTCAGTAACTTTCATCTTATTGCAAGACTGAAGTTATGTATCTGTTGATCACGAATTCATTTTCTTCTACCAGTTTCTGGAAATTACAGTGTTTTCTGTTTCCATTGCTTTTATTTATTACTTACATCTTACAGAGTAGAATCGTATAGGTTGGTCCTTTGTGGATGTCTTGATTGATTGATTTTGTATTTTGGGGAAGGGTTTACAGGGTGTTCAGGGTCTCAGTACTAGATTGGATTCATAGTGGTTCTTCTGTTTACAGCCTCGCAAGTGCTGGGATTACAGATGCGTGTACCACGATGCCCAGTCTCAGTAGCTGTCTCAGTGTGCCTTGGGGGCAGGGCCAACATGGCAGGCCTAGGGATTGAAATCCTGGCCCCTGAGCCTGCTTGCAGTCTCTTTAATCTGCTGAGCTACGTCTTGTTTTACTTAGTGCCATGTTCCCAAGGCATCTGTGTTTAGCATGTGCCAATATTTCCTTTATTTTAAAATTTATATTTCATTTATGTTTATACCATAATTTCCTTATCCATTTGTCTGTCTGGACCTTTGTGTTTTTTTCTCCTGTTGGTCTTACAAATGCTATAGTGAACATAGATGTTTAAGTGTATCTTTAAGAAACCATTTTTAAATCTTTTTTTTTTTAATGTATTTGGTTGTTGCAGGGTGTTACTATGCAGCTCGGACTCATGGTGATCCTCCTGTTTCAGCCTCCCCAGCCCTGGTATTACAGGAGAATGCACTATGCCTGGACTCTGGCCTGCTCAGCCAGGCCCTGGGGGCAGGGCTGGCGCTGCATGTGTTGCCGGGGATTGAACCACCGCCCCTGCGCTTGCCTAAGCAGGCACTTTAGTCCGCTGAGCTATCTTGTGGACCAGGTCCCACCATTTTTTAATTCTTTGGCTATACACCTACAAATCAGATTGCTAATCATATGGTAGTTGTTTTTGAATTTTCCTTGGAACACCCATATTCTCTTCCTTGGTAATTACACTATTTACATTCTCACCAGCAGTGCCCAAAGGTTCTAGTTTCCTTAGATGTTCACTAACACTTGTTTTTTGGAGAGTAGACATCTTAATGGGTGAGTTGGTATTTGTATTGCTTTTCATTTTATTTTTTTAAGAGCAGGAAATATTTATTAATGGAAGGAAAGCTTCTGTCTAAGAGACAGAGGGGACCCAGAATGTGGGTTGCTGAGGAATTTTCTTCTTAGGGGAAGCTTTATAAAGCAAAATCACAAGGTGGATATAAGGTGGGACAAAACTTCAATCAATTAATAAGATTACAAATGTAGTTTATATAGGTATTACTGATCCAGTGGGGAAGCAAGTCACATAGCAAGCATGCCTGGAAAGAACAAGGACCTTTCTTAGAAGGGATAGGTCAAGGTCCTGGCCCTCCACCCAGGTACTTGATGCTTGTTGAAAATATCTATCACTATTGTTTATCCCTTAGGGGAGTATGTAGCTGTAGTCATTCTGTCTTTGTCTTGAGGTCTGGTACAAGACCTTCCACAGTTGCAGTGTGTCTTCTACATAGATTCTTTTGAAGGCCCAGCCCTGTCTGACTGCCTATAATATTTTTATATAACTTAGCTGTTTATGGGGCTGGAGAGATGGCTCAGTGGTCTAAAGCACCTGCTTAGAACAAGTTCAGCGAAGCACAGGGACCACGGTTCGATCCCCCAGCACCACATGCCAGCCAGCCCGCCCCCTGGTGGGCTGAGCTGGTCACACACACACACCACTCTTTCTCTCTCTCTCTCTCTCTCTCTCTCTCTCTCTCTCTCTCTCTAATAAAAAAAAATTAAAAAAAAATAACTTAGCTGTTTAAAATATTCCCCCCCCCTCTGAAAAGGTTCCCCTAAGTACAATGAGGGAGCAGGTAGCGATGACTGCTCTGGCTACTTCAGGCTGAAGAGGGTTGTAGTGTTGTGCTCAGCAGTCAGAAATATTCTCCAGAGGATCTGTGTAAAGACACCAGGCAGTCTTGTCTTGGGTTGCTTTATAGCTTTAAGTCTAGAGGAAACAAGGCAGAAGAGTTAAACAAGGCAAAAGAGTTATATGGGCTAAATAATAAGATCAACAAAGTTGTTACGAATATAGCTATCAAAAGTTTCTAACAGGAAAAGCTAGTGACAGCTTTCCACAAAGAGGATAAAGACAAAGTCTAGGGAATTTTAGAATATGATGTGGCATTAACTTGACACTATCTTTTCAGCCATTTGGATATTAGCAGAAGGATCAGTAATGTACACACAACATTTAGCTTTTACAATACACAAGTATCCCTTCGTTAAAATGTCTAATGCCATCTGATTTTGGAGGTTGGCTTCATTAATTTTATTTCTTCATTCAGAAGAGAGAGAGCAGTCAATGTGCCATTCAAGGCCTTTGGAGTATAGTCAAGGCCATGATATGTTGCATGACATCACATATTCCTAGGGAAGGGGTAAGGTTAGAAGCCAATGGTCATGCCAGTGAACTCTGCTTCTAGACTATTGATATTGCAGATGGGATAAATTTGAGGTTTGTCAGTGCTTTTGAAATTCCTCCCTTGTAACCCTGCAAGTCTCGGTGTGTATCTCCCTGTCTATGTAGCAGGTAGCGCAACCATAGATTGGTTCCACAGGACCTGTAAATCCCATGGAGGGGTGGGCATGGGGGGGTTCCATCTAATTCTAGGTCCATCAAACCTGTCCTTTGCAAACAGTCTCTGACCTGTAAAGTTCTGGTGTCTCTACTGGAAGGAATATCTGTCCCACATTTAGTAGAGTTAGGCTAGTGAGAATAAGAATAATTTCTTTGTTTTCAACATAAAGGGGCTTCTACTAAGTTGTCCTATAGTTGGCATGGACTACATACAATCATCATTGGTATAAATACTGACTTTCTGTCCTTCACTGAGTTGTAAAGCTCTTGTCAGAGCTGTTAGTTCTGTCAGTGGGACACTAGTCCCAGGGGAAGGTGAGGAACTTTTAAGTGTCTGATATAGAGTCTTTCTTGTCCCATTTTCTTTGGGAGTGATGCCATCACAGAAAAGAGTCAAATCAGGGTCAGGCAGGGATGTCTAATAAATCTTTTCTGACCACGTACTTACAGAGAATTATCTGTTCACAGTCATTTTTTTTTTCTTTCAGTACCAGGGATTCAACTCAGGACTTTGTGCTTGCCAGGCAAACATTTATTCTACTAAGCCATCTCCCTGACCTCTACAATCATGTCTTTTAGCCTTAACTTCCTTATTTTTCTGGTAGAAAGGTGGAAGGGTTTAAGGAGGAGCATACTTTTATTTGAATAACTGGTCCTTCTAGAAGTAGAACCTGGTATTTTAAGAAGTCACTTGTCTGATAGCCATATGCTCCATTTGGAAGCAAGAAGTCTTGCCACATTGTGAAGGGAATTTACAGTGAGATCTTCACCTAAAATTAGCTTAGATGCCTCCTGTACCAAGGGAACTACTGCAGCCACAGCTCTAAGGCATTCAGACCATCCATTTGTTAACAATGTCTAGTTCATGATTCAGATAACATACAGGTTACTGAGCAGTTGAACAGGCCAGTCTGTTGAGCAGGCCTCACATCCTGTACAAGCATTCCCAAAGCCCCGCCCCACCTCGCCTTTGGTCAGCACACAGATTGCAGTGGTATCCTTTTGGTAGGATCAGCATTTAAGGAATTTAGAAACATTTAAGGGTCTGGTATCTAGTTGGAAATCAAGTTCCCAAATTAAAATATGGTTATCTTATTTTAATAAGTATTTTTGAATGTGTATCCTTTGGGCTTCCTTTATAAGCTGATAGAGGGATTGTGCAATCTCACCATATCTTACTATCCACAGGTGACAAAAGTCTTATAATTCCTAAGAATCCTCATAGCTTTTTTAAAGTCTTGAGCTGTGGGAAGAAAAGTATTGGTTTAATTCTCTCTTCCCCTGCCTTCAGGTTCCCTTAGATATAATGAGGCCCAAGTATTTTACCTCAAGGCTGCAAAGTTGTGCCTTAGAAAATTCTGTCTGCTAGGAAATTCAGCACAACACAGGTGCCTTGACTACCAAGCTCTTCTGAGCAGGCACAAAGCAGTGTATCATCTACCTTTTGTAAGACTGTGACCTGGGAAATTGAAGACACACGAAATTGTGGGAAAGCACTTGCTCAAAAGGATGTCTGTCCTTGAATCTTAGAGGAAGAACTGCATCAGTTGAGAGGCCTGGCTGTGAAGATTGTTAAAGGCAAAAAGAAACTAAGAATCTGTATGTAAAGGACTAGAAAAGAAGGCATCTTATAAATCTAACACTGAAAGCCAACCAGCATCTTCTGGGATCTGGGAAGGGAGAGAGAGTAGGGGTTAGGTACTATTGGCTGAGCTGGCACTACTGCTTCATCTGTCAATGTAAGGTACTAATCTTTACTTCCCTTTGGGTCTTGCAACTTCTATGATTGGAGTGTTGCAGTTGTTATTATAGACTTTAAGTAAACCTTGTGTCCTTGACTTATCAGTTAATCCTCTTTTAACTTCAGGGTTTAGAAGTATTCTTTGTTGAGAAAAAAAAAAAATAGTAGGATCTTTGGGATGTATTTGCACCAGGGTAGCTCTTATTGCTCTTTTTATTCTACCATTAGTTGTCCATACTTTAGGATTTATTTCTATCTCTGTGGGTGGGAGGGCAATATATTTGACCTAGGTGCATATATGTATCACAGTATTCGAACAAGATAAAAAAAAAAAAACCCTCTCCTGAGGAGGGAAACTAGACTTCTGCACATGATTAAAAAGAATGTGTAAAAAG